TAATATTATCAATACTCAATAGCTAGCACTTATTATAACGCATTTTTACTTTCAAGTATTTCAAAACGTTCTGAGGTACACTTTAGCATTTAATTACACCTGCTTCCTCTCATTTTTCTTAAACTTGAGCGTATTATCACATGAATATATGTATTTTTGAGTGTGTTATTTGCTATTTAACATTTTATTTGACTGCATATATTTTGAGTTATGCAAATTTAAACAATACCATGGCATTTTGCTAATGTAATTATCTATGGATATTGGTTACTCACGACCTCATTTTTGAGATTTTCATATCAAAATAGTTATTTGATAATCGATTGTAGCTCTACTGTTAATCTATAGTTTATATATTATGTGTACTATTTTTAGTACTGAGATTTTTAGTACTGAGTAGCTTATATGCAGAAGTTATGTGAATGTATAATATGCATTCATTTGCATACATTTTAAAATGTTTTACTTTTTTGTTAATTTTGTAACCAAATACTGTTTTTTAAATAAAACTATTATTTTAAGGCTATTTTTATGAAAGGCCACATTACCATCCATTTTTTTCTTCGAGTCATCATGCAATGTCGCTACATTTTTGTTAATAGTATTCTAAGTAATAAATATTTCAACTTTGAGCCTACAATCGATTCAACAACATTTTAACGAATGTAATTATCAAGTTTTAAACTTAAATATTGATTATTAACAAAGTTATTTTGTAAAATGTAACTGGGGTGCCATAATGAGAAGATGATATTATGGCATCCCATTTACATTTTACTACGAAATATTTCTATATAAACTATAGATTAACAGTAGAGCTACAATCGATTATCAAATATCTATTTTGATATGAAAATCTCAAAAATGAGGTCGTGAGTAACCAATATCCATAGATGATTACATTAGCAAAATGCCATGGTATTATTTAAATTTGCATAACTCAAAATATATGCAGTCAAATAAAATGTTAAATAGCAAATAACACACTCAAAAATACATATATTCATGTGATAATACGCTCAAGTTTAAGAAAAATGAGGGGAAGCAGGTGTAATTAAATGCTAAAGTGTACGTCAGAAACGTTTCGAAATACTTGAAAGTAAAAATGCGTTATAATAAGTGCTGACTATTGAGTATTGATAACATTAGCGTTACAGTGTAACGGCAAGCCACTGAACTAATAATTCTATAAATAATCATTGGGATTCGCTATGTAATAGCGGAGATATTAAAGGAGGCCACAATGTATACACTGCAGTGTATAATTTTCCAGTCATAGACATGTAATTTCCATGTAAAATTACACGCATTTTTTTCAGTGTGGCCATAATACCACCTTCTCCTCTATATAAATTCACATAGATTCATTTCGGCATTGAAGATCTAGCTTGACCGTTTAGGTTAGGGCTCTCATTTTCTATTCGTTGTATAGTCACATTACGATCTTATAAGATACTTTGTATTGTAATTAATTATATATAAAGAATAATAAACAAATTATAAAATATAAATTTCTTTTTTTAAATTACATGAATGTTAGTTTTTAAATTATTTTATAAATGAAATAAAGTTAGTAATAATTTTTTCGTTATATAATTTTGTGTAAATACATTTCTTTTAAATGTCGTTAGCTACGTTTACACCGTGTGCTTAGTCCGTGACTTATACGATATGTGTTTTTGTTTAACCTACAGGATAAACAAGAACATCTATTGTATAGGCCGCGGCTTAAATGCACGGTGTAAACGTAACCTGTGACGTTATATCTTTGTTTTAGTTTTTTATTATTACGAACATACCTGCATATTTTGATACACAAATAAATGTTATTCTTTGCACCTAAATAATTTTGTATGTCATTAGAGCGTGTATAACAATAAAAATACTAAATATACAATACTACAGTCTGAAGAATTTTTATTGAAATTTTAGAATACTCAAACATAGATTAAATAATAATATATATTTATAAACAAGAATACATATATACATATACAATATATACATAATATAATTTACAAATATTATAAATATATACACATTATTATCTAATCTAGTTTTTTCTAGAATCTCAATAAAGATTATTCCAGAGCATTTAGTAGATAGACACAGTATATATGTATGTATTTGGTGTATTTTTCTCATTTTAAATTATTTAAATAAATAACGGTCGTGTAAATAGAATTATAATCATTTTTAGATACTGGGCCAGTTGTATAACCAACCCAGTATCCGAAAAATCAGAATTTTGGATTCGGCAATGACTACGCGAATATATTTCTATCTATTTCAATTCTTTGGGAATTTCGTGTGGTCATAATTTTTAAGATACTGAGAAAACTGTTCCAGTTGTATACCCAGTACTGGCTCGTATATTATTGCCAGTATTGTACCAGCACTGGCAATGAAGCACTGCGTAGCGTTATACTCCTGTATTAAATCTGTACTGGCTGCCAGTAGGTACTGGCGCGATGGCAAACAGTATTGGCCCATGATTGGGTCGTTTTAATATTTTTACGTGGAAATTAATATTCTGTTTAATTAAATTGAAAGTAAATGTTAAACACTAATAATAACTATAAATATTTAATAAGGTATATAATACTTTCTATTAAAAATTAATTTTACAATCTTCGTGTTCGCATCGTTCGTAGGTAATTATCTTTAACACGTACACTTGATTCAAGAAAAAAATTTAGACAAAAAAAAGCTAGGTTTATAAATGTCTCCTTGTTTTAGTAATTTGTTAATTCTTTTTAAAAAGAAGTTACAAATATCCAAACAGTGTTATCTAGATGTAGGTATATAGTATAAAACCATAAAACACGGAAGCATTCATTAAAGAGTTGGATAAATAGTTCTTACTCCACAGTTCTTTTTATTATAATACAATTATTATTATAGATCGCTGTCTAGAATTTGAGAATAGGAACTTTTTAACAAAGAAACTGAAAAAACACCTTGTTTTCTAAGGATTTTCGCTGAATTTGATTCTGACCTTAAAATACTAAAATCCAAATTTCAAAATATTAATCTGATTATCGTAAAACTCGGTTTTAGAATATTCTTGCTCAATTTGAACGTGACCAAAAAATGTCAAATTTCAAAAGAGTAGTAACTTTCAATAAAGAAGATTCTAATGTCACAGGGTTCATAGTCAGAATTTGAAAGTCAGTTTGGAAATCAGAGAGAGAACACTAATTGTTTGATTTTATAATCAAAACTTATAATATCTAATTGAAAATTCCCTAAAACTGAGTTTTGATGATCAAATTTTTTTTTTTTAAATTCTGTCCGCTATATTGGATAATTTTGAAGGTTTTATTTGAAAGTTTTATACCTCAGATTCGAATAAAGCATTATCAAATTATTCCATAGACTAAGTTTCGTGAAAATTAAACAGCTTATAAAATAAAAGTGAGTGACCTCAAAGGGGGTAGTCTCAAATGGAGTCGCCCGTCGATAGATAAAAGGTTAAATCGTGGAATCATCCAGTTGTTGAGAAACATTGTATTTATAACCAAATACACAAATCAATGACGAAAAATGTTGATATACATATACTCTTTCGATATTATCCGTGCACATATATAGTATTCATATATGTACATACATGTATCGACCTATTTCGTACTATTATTTACAATGTAACTATCCATTTCCTAGGTTGCGGATGGTGCTATCTATATAGAATAAAAGAAGAAAGAAAAAGGGACTCTGGCGAAACTCATGATCGATGGTTCCCTCCTATTTCTTTCCGCGCATCATATACTCTAACCGTCATCCTCCCTTTTTCTCTCCGACAACGTCACCTTTTTCTCTAGCCATGCGCTACAGCGCTCCTTTCTCCCTTTCTCTTCCCTCCTCCGTTGCGTAGCGTCAGACTGACAGCGTCGCGTACGTTGGAAGTAACAGCCGCGTTGTCGTTTGTCACGCGACGTCACGACGCGCCAACGCAGCGTATCAGGGAACGCGACGCGAGACGACGCGAGGCGACGCGACGCATCGTGCGGCGCGATGCCGCGCTCAGTTGATGCGACGTACAGCAACGATAAATTCGCGGATTTCAGCACCCGCGAGATTTCATGCGTGTCCGAACTGTCGGAAGTCTTCTCCATGACGAGTGGGCTATGGCTACGTTCGAGAAGCGTTGATTCAGGATGTAACTCATCGTTCTAACTTCTTGAAATATCTGCTCATTTTTATTATGATAGCAAATGATTCCCAACATGGAAGTCCAATGAATTAGAGCCGCAGATATAACAAGAAATTCTAAAGATCGTAAACGTATTATTGACCAGTACACTGAAAAAAAAGATTGGCTGCTGCAGTAAATTAGATGGTAAAATATGGCATAGCATTTTTAATTGGTTGCAGCAGTCAATTTTTGATTGTGTTAGTCTATCGAAATCCTATACTGACATTGCAGATAGGCTAACGCAACCAAAAATTGACTGCTGCAACCAATTAAAAATGCTATGCCATATTTTACCATCTAATTTGCTGCAGCAGCCAATCTTTTTTTCAGTGTAGAATAAAAATATACAAAAAAGATCTCTAATTGGGTTAATTAGAAATTTGGTATGTCTGTTCGAAAATCTGAACGAATTCTTGTAGGAATTACCAAATGAGCATGATTAATTTCGAGATTAATTTCAATTCTTTATCGGACCTTTACAGCTAGAGAATTAGCGGTTGATTCATCGCAAGAGTCTCAGAGTTCCGTTCATTTTCAATTTCGAAGATGCATTACACGCGAAAAAAGTAAACTCCACCGACTCGCAGGAAAGTACATCGGCTCCCGCGCCGTTTCATTAGATATCATTATAATTGTACGAGGGAGTAATTATTGTTGTCCGCCGCGCGGCAGAAAACGGGTTGGAACAAATGAAAAAAGGCCGTAATAAAAATTAATGTCCCAACGGTGTGCAGTCGGTAAAAGGATGGAGTCAAAAGCGGTAAAGGGGTTGAAATGGATGAGAGAGAGAGAGAGAGAGAGAGAGAGAAAGGAAGAGAACGCTTGGAATGCCATTTTCACAACACACACTCGATTCGGTCCTTCGGACTGTATAATGAAAAAATTTCAGCGTATATTCACATGGGCGTGTGCAACGAATTGAGCGGTGTATATATACCTACGGTAACTTAAAAATTTGCACGTAAGCATTTGCGCATTGAAAAATTAATTTTAAATGTATATCATTTTATCTTTCATCAATTTATGAGTGATTTGAAGGAAAACATCGTGTTATCTATATCTTTATTATATTTGTATGGCATATTATGTAATAAAGGTACATCATGCTGAAAAATTTATCAAAAATTAATATACACTGAAAAAACGTACTAAATTTTAATAAATTTTAATAAATTATTTAAATAGTGTTAGTTGGATACTTGCTAAATACTGCTTCCTTCAAATATCTACTGATTTTACTGCTATTAAGCGACGAGAATTCTTTCTGAAGCTGAAGATGTCTAGGATTTTTCCAAGTGCTTCCAAAACTTTAATAATTTTTTATTTTCATTTAATTTTACAAAAATAGACCCTTAAGTTTCAAAAGGTTGGAATTAATCATATCATAAGTTAGAGATTAAAAAAACTATTAAATTAAAACTATTCAACCAAACATATATGAATTTCACGAGATAATATGATGTTAGCGAAGGAAGAAGCTGTACACTGAAAAACAAGATTGGCTGTTGCAGCAAATTAGATGGTAAAATATGGCATAGCATTTTTAATTGGTTGCAGCAGCTAATTTTTGGTTGTGTTAACCTATCGAAATCCTATACTGACATTGCGGATAGGCTATGTCGCAACCAAAAATTGGCTGTTGCAACTATAAATTGGCTGCTGCAGCCAATTAAAAATGCTATGCTATATTTTACCATCTAATTTACTACAGCAGCCAATCTTTTTTTTCAGTGTATAGATCTTCATGTTACATCAGATGATCTATATAAAAAGAATAAAAAATGTTCCAGTAAAATGGTACGCAAAATTTTTGCATACAAATACGAAAGATGTAATAAAAAACCTTAGTACCTATATG